TTTTATTCAACATTAGTTGCAGGACAGTCAAAGAAGGCAGGAAGCGCTCACCTTCAGGGTTTTCTATGCTGACGGGCAGACTGGTGTCACATTTACTCTTGCACTGCTGCATGGCTACAGGCCGCTGATGATCCAGACACTCGTTGGAGGGCTGTCCCGTGTGGGTCAGACACTGCACCGAGCGCATCTCCTGACCCAGACCACACTTTGCAGAACACTACAGCACAAAGACGCAAAGACACGATCAATCCTGCGCTTACAACTGCAGTCATTTCACTGAGAACAAAGACATGAGTCAGATGGATATCGCCGTCAATATTAGTGTATGTAAGAGACAGTTACTGTACGAGTGTACACAGGGCCACAAAAGCATTCCTGATTCCCAGTTTTTCCATATTTGTCACTCTTACATGTTTCAGATTATCAAACAAATTTTAACATTAGTAACAAAATAAACAAAAACACATAAAATGCAGTTTTTAAAGGATGATTTAATTTATTATGGCAATAAAAAGCTTTCTAAACCAACCTGGCTTCATGTGAAAAGGTAGTTTCTTAACTGTGATTAACCATGTTTTTGGGAAATTTGAGTTTCATTTCTGCGGCTATAACCCGATTACTGCCAGACGTGCCGAATTGAAAAATCACTTAAACTGAAGCTAAAAGACACACAACAATCTAAAAACACAGTCTGGAGGTTTTGGGACTGCAGTGAACCACGGTGAGAACAATTATCCACAAATGGAGCGGCCGTGAACCTCGCAGGCCTGCGTCAGTTAAACTCAGAGTTCATGATTCAACGATCAGAAAGAGACCGGGTCAAACGGCGCCGATGGGAGAATGGCTAAAACAACCAAATGAAGGTTTTGGAGTGACTCAGGCGTGTCCTCAAACAGGCGATAAAAAAGAAACGCTCCGACGTGGACAAATTAAAACTATTCTGCAAAGAGGAATGGGCAAAAATTCCTCCACAGCGATGTGAAAGTCAGATATCGCAAACGCCTGATTTTGCAGTTCTTGCTGCCGAGAGTTTCACAGCCAGGTTTAAGGGCTCGCTCACATTTTTACCCTAACGACAAAATCATAATTTAAAAACTTAGGTTGTCTTTGTCTAATATTAAAATTCGTTTGTCTGTCTGAAACATGTGAGTGTGACAAATAAGCAAAAAAAACGAAGAAATCAGGAAGAGGCGAATATGTTTCCGAGTCTGTTTTTACCTCTCCCCAGGGACCCGTCACCCACTGAGGGGGAGGGCAGCGCTGCAGATTACAGCGGACCCTGGAGGTGGGCCGGCCATGTTTTGGACACTTGGACTCTGGCAGCGTGTCGCCACTCTCCCCACTCTTACACAAAACCACGCGGTGCCTGTAGCCAGGACCACAGCTGGGGGTGCACTGCAGAGAGAAAAGGAAAGAGAGAAAACGTCAGGCAGGAAGGTAAAGAGAGGAAGCCGGGCGAAGGTGCAGCAGGCTGCAGCTTGTAAAACCGCAACTCTCTCAGCAGAGGGCAGCAGCTGTACAGGAAACAAAGCTGAGAAACTAGCGAGTTCCTGTAAAACAGCTGGGCATGATTCCTGCCACGGCTACGTTACATAAGACGTCAGAGAAAAGTTGAACCCGGACTGATTTCTGACACTATTTAATTCAGTTTCAATTCATCCAGAACTGTGAGAACAAAGTTTCGTTCCAGGAACAAAGCAGTGAACAAGAAGGACTTTTTATACTGTTGTAGTTAAGCAACAACCAACAAGACGTGTCGCAGAGAGTCACGGCTCTCCGACAGCCTTAAACTTCCTCAAACTAGCTGTCACATTCCCCTGTGA